ATATATACATACATACATACATACATACATACATACATATATATACATACATATATTCAAATGCTTAATAAAACATTTTGGACTTTTCCTCCTCCCACTACACTGTGCTTATTATTACAAGGTGTTTTCCAGATTTATACCCACTGCTTTTCACATCCCCTGCCATCACCTACCAATACAAATAGTAAAATGTGGTCAAATAACCCAGGAATACAGTTTCATTCTATTCCTCAGACTTTTATTCTCCAAAAATCAGAAATAAAGTTTAAAAAATAGTTCTGCTTGTGTTTTGATTTATATTACAAATTAGGAGGTTCAATCAAAAACATCTAAGACAAACACAAACATTTATTAACTTCTCATATTCACAAATTAATATAAAACAAATGTAGATGAAAGATAACGATAAATAATTAAATTCATTGTGTCCAGTCTTCGTTTCTTCATCATCTGGCCGTGTCTGTATGGGCTCTGTGGTCCACTTTCATTAACAATTATAACATCATTACCATAGGTCCATATTTAAAAAGAAGCTAAAAGTTATTTTCTCTTAATGAACAGGCAAATTCGACAAGCACAGGCTTGTTATGAATTGTGGGCCACAGGCTGCCAGCTCTGAGAGTGTTAAGTCCCTGGATATTTATATTAATGGGGACGTGGGATGTTTGCATGAGTGAAGAGGCGAAACCAGAACTGAGCATGTATATACTTGCCTAATTACAAAGTTTTTTAAATGAGCATGTATTTATTTCACAAACAGTTCAGGCTGTACCTGCTCCTGCTGTAATTCTCATATCAGAGGATCTGTATTGGCCATATCCTCCCTAGCTTTGAGGCACAACATGGCCCTGAGGTTGAGCTGGTGGTCTCAGGTACTGGGCTCTCTGTGGGGTCTTGCTGTGCGTCATCATCTTGTGTTGGCTCTGTGTCGTGGGATGGGGAGGTTCTGTGGAGACTGTTGCAGGATCGTCGAGCACATCGATGCCGTCCAGAGTGAAGTCCCATAATTGCGGATCATCTGAGGAGAAGTGAGAAATATTTATATATTTCACCTTACCATCTACTAGCCTTTTCCTGTATTAAAACCTCAGTCACCAAAAGTCCTTCAAAGTTTTCCCACCAGATTAGAGAGATCTCTATCGAAGGAGGGGGAGGGGAAAGGAAAATCTGTCATTTACTCATTTTTTTGCGATTTTTAAGATGTTTATCTTGAAATGTATCAAAAATTAGAAATTCATGGATATACTGACCATGCTTTTCCAAGGAATCACAATGAAAGAGGTCTGGTATTTTCAAGCTTAAAACTATTTTTAGAATGATGCCCCTAAATTTGACAATTCACTTGCAAATGACCCCATTCCTCAAAAACAAAGGCAGCCAAATATTTTAATATATATATATAATATATGCAATTTTATTGTGATTTTATAAATACAATGCTGCTTGCATTGCCTTTTATATTGTCACTGTACTAAAGCCAAATCAAAATATCAGAAAATTAATCATTTTTATTATTTAAAGTTTTACATTTATTTCCTACTGTTAAAAACTAGTTGTCAGGGGGTAGGGGGATCACAACTAATTGTATCATTTCTGACCAGTGAAATGCAAATAATATCTGTATATTCTGTAACTGTTGAAAAACCATTGTTACATATATTTAATATTTTGTTGCCACTGGCAGCCATAAAAACGTCTTTCAAAATAAAAAATTATTTATTTTTCATGAACGCCCTAGATCGATAGTTCACAACCACGGGCCAGGATCCCAGTTTGAAAAGACCTGCTTTAAAGCAGCCAGTATTTACCATCACTGTCTAATCAGTGGCACTGCTGATCATGTATTTAACCAAATAAGTTCCCAATGCACATGTACCATGATCACACCTTTCTTTAAAATACTTCTTACCAGTCAGATACTCCTGCTGCTTAGTGGTCACCAGGTGTGCGTTTGGTGTACTGTGGTTAACAGGGCCTACTGCCTGTCCTAAAATGATAAACCCACCGATGGAGAGCGCTACACACCTGACACTCCTGCAGGCAAAGGCTTGAATCTTTTATACTCATGGCTAAAACATGAACCCTTAAATTTTACATCACACCTTGCTTAGACTGCAGCTGCGGCTCAGTGGAACCGTTGGTCTGCTGGCTTTTCTGCTCCTGCAGCAGCTTCTTAGCCTCCATTTCCTGTCTGAACTTTTGCTGCAGCTGCTGCTGTCTCAGCTTCCTCTGCTGCTTGGAGTCCAGTGGAGGATCAGATGAGGACAGGTCAGCCATGTCAGCTGCTGAACTAAGAACATGGAGAGAAGCAGATTTATCATAAGTGCAGCTGGCTAGTGTTGTAGTTGAAGTTAGCACCAAATAAACTCACCTTGAGGTGTTGCTAGGCCTGTTTTCAGAGTCCTGGTGAGCTGACATGTTGCCAGAATGTGCTGCCGTGTTTGTCAATGAAGTCCTGGATCCAGTTCCGCTCTCATGCCCTCCTCGTACAGGGTGACTTCCCAGCCGCTCTAAGAGGGTGTTGGCTAGTTCCACTGGTTTGATAAATTCCCTGCTGTTGGCTCGGGCCAGGCTGTCGAACTTGGCTTTCTCCACAGACGGCTCGCTATCACTGTTTGGTTTTGTTCAGGTCTAACGGAGGAGGTGGCTGCAGTAACAGAAAATACACCATATTTCAGGTACATAAATTGAGGAAATATATTAAAATAAAAGTATCATAAATTTGGCCCAAATGTTGATAGGATTACTTCTTACCTGCTTTGGTATTTTATTGATCGCTATGAGATACTCCTTATTCAGAATACAATTTCTAAGCGCATTTCCAAAACACCTTGGAAAATAAAATTGAAATGATTAATTCAATAACAATTATATAATGTATTGCATAATGTATAGTAAGCTAGTCATTAGCTAAATTAATCTTGACCGGTTAATCAGAAGCCTTTTTTATTTTGTGATAATAATTAGCTGACTATTCAGTATATATTATCCTACTTATTATATGGCTTCTTATTGAATAGAAAAATATATAAATTATTATAAAATACAAATCATTTTTAGTTGAAATTACTTTGTGTAAGGGAAAATATAGTGTAGAGTTTGGGGTTGGTAAGATTTTTTTCCCTGAATGTTTAAAGAAGTCTTATGCCCACCAAGGCTGCATTTATTTGAAAAATACAGTAAAAACAGCAATATTATGAAATACTATGAATTATTTTTGCAATTTAAAATAACTGTTTTCTATTTAAATATATTTTAAAATGTAATTTATTCCTGTGATGGTAAAGCTGAATTTTCAGCGTCATTATTCCAGTCTTCAGTGTCACATGATCCTTCAGAAATCATTCTAATATGCTGAAATGCTGCTTAAGAAATATTTCTTATTATTATCAGTATTCATTGGAAATAGAAATATTTTGTAACATTCTAAATGTTTCTACCATCACTTTTGTTCAGTTTAATACATCCTTGCTAAATAATAAGTTTTATTTCTCACAAATTTTGATTTAAAACACTGACCACAAAATGAAACGACTGACCAATCAGAATCAAGTATTTGTAGCAGCAGAAATAATTACTTGAGTGCTCTTTTCAGTCCATCTGTGATGGCTTCTTTTCTTGCTTTTTCCAGTGACAGAGCTTTGGATTTAAGGCCTTATCTCACCCCATATCCTACATCCTCATGGTATGAGCCATCCTATGGAAGAGACACTGAAGAAATGGTATGCTCCTCACAATGCTGTGTGTCTGTCTTGTCAAGAGCACTTACCTTTAACTCAAACTTCACAAAGGCACTGACTCCAACATAACATTTCCCATTGATAAGGTCCACAAAGTCTGTAACACAAGATTGACCACGTCTTTTTAAAAAGAAGCACCAAATCTTGCAACCTGATGTAAATACAGCATAAATGGAAATTGTTTGAGAATCTGTGCCCGTCGTTATGAGAAACATGTCTTTGACTTGTGATGATGTTACCAACATTTTGTTGACATATTGAGTGTGACCATCCATTATACCCTAACATTTCATTAGCCAGACTTATAACTTTGTGACCTTCAATATAGCACACCTCCAAAAAACAAGACAAAGGTCTAATGACCTGGAAAACAGCAAGATAATCAACTATATATTAGATCAGCGAGACTAAATATTTAAGTGTACATTAAGCGCATTAATTCTCACTTTTTGTCCTCCTCCAGCTTGTCTGGTACTGATATATTCAGGTCCATGTCTCTGCCATATAGCAT